GAGTGAATGTAATTGTTTGGCCCGGAGCTGTATGATAGTAATGAGTTTGGTTGGAACAAACCCATTCGTAACAATGAATATGGATCGTCATGTGGTGAAATACAAGCTTGTGTGCATTCATCAAAAAGCTGATATGGAAAGATCACAACACATGGGGAAAGAAAACGTCATATGGAGTCTTTTTATCTACTTTATTACGATACCCTTCAGCCAAATGGCTAATCTTGCAGGTTTAAATACATGTATAAATTACGCAAAATAAAAACATAAATGTAAACAGACTGGTAAACAAAACACACGCATGAATACACGAAATGAAGACATACAAAATGTAGCATCATCACTACAAACTGATAACAGACTTGAATGTTAACTTAGAGTTGTTACAGACTTAAATTATGACTGAACCAATGGATGGCTTGGATAGTAGTTTGATATTGGGAGGCTTTGATTAATGCTACTCACCTTGACTTTGTTCATTGCATACCTTTCCTAGTAAACGAGACGCTTTTGCTTACGGCGGTGTACAGGGATTGGGATCGTCTGATTCCTGTCTAGACGTTGTGTCCATGGGAAAGGCCCTTCACAGAACTTTCCTCATCCCATTCAAATGTTCAACCCTGCCGGGGATGAACGGAGGTGGCAGGAGATGGATGTGACCGATAGTGCTCCCACATGTTCAAACACATTCCCCTCGGGCCCTGCTTCAGATATTGCTCCAGTTATTTCTCATTCTATTTTCCAACGGCTGGCGTCAATGCAAATACCCCCGGATAATTTATACATTTCAAAGGTTAAACTTTCATGCTTCGCTGCTGAAATCAAATCAATCAAGCAGAGGTTCAAGGGCTGTATATCTTTGATAAAGTGTTACCAAATATCATGATTTTACATACAAATCAGCACACGTGGGTGCTGGGAAAACACCTTTGAGAAAAGGTTGGGTTCAGCAATGTCAAATAGGTTTTTAACATTAATAATATCACAAAGCAAGGTTGTGAGGTCGCCAGGGAACTTTTGATCTTTTCTGATTATACATACGTCATTTAGATATAAAACGAGAAAGCGGGTTGACACCGGCACCCGCAAAGACCTAGATTACCGGTTAATAAACCCCGGGAGGATATACTATAATTATGGCGGACACAAGGGTAAGTCACCTGCCGTTGCCGTCCCAGAAAAAGGTACAGGTAGAATTCCAATTACCTCCGCACAACTTCACAAACTCAAATCGGACGAAGATGCTTGGCTGTGATGTCTCGTGATACACCCTTATCGCAAATAACAAGACACGTAAGAGGTTTCTCTGTCATCCTTGTGACGTCAGGGGAAATCGGTGGGCTTTCAACTCTCTCGAAGACATGTTACTGGCAGAATAGACAGTTTTATCAAGGAGGTTAGAAATCTTGATTGACGGTCCTCGGTTTCATAGGCGCGAAAAACAAATGTAGGCTTGGCCCCTTGTCTGAGTCTTCAACGCACATCACACGAGGTGAGCTAGCACCAATGACAATCAGGGTAAAGCGTCATTTATTGGTAACTGTCTGTATCTGTCAAAATCGTTTTCTTATGTATGAAGGGCGCAACAAAACCAGGCAGCATGGTTGATTGCCATGTAGGTGACGAATATGTTTTTCATCGTTGAAATTGGTCAAAGTCTTGACGTGGATTTTAACGAAATTCACTTTACATGTGACATGAAGACCTATGCCCAACATGCTCTTCGTCAGCACTTAAGCACTGAAGACTGTTGACATTTCCTTGTCCCGCCTCCGTAGTCACCCAAATCCACCCACCTTGGCGCTGGCGCCTGCAATTCGAATATGTATCATGACATTGTATTATTACCATTTGTATCATCTGATTGTAAACCCTGCATCAATTCAGCACTATAAGGCTGCGATTGTACGGGTGATGTTTGGCCAGTAAACCATTTATTATTATTATTATTATTATTATGTACGTACATGCCCGCAAGTAACCCTGCCTCTACATATCGATCACCGACAGCTGTACCTTTGGGAGCAAACGTACTTTGTAACTCCTTTTTACAAGGTACGTTTACAAAGTGGGGTCGTGTGGCGTAGCGGCAGAGTGCGCCCCTCGGAACAAAGAGTCCCTGGTTCGAGTCCTGATATGCCAGCGATCTTGTGCCCTTGGGAAAGGCACTTTACACGACTTAGCTCAGGTGTAAATGAGTATTGTCCTGTCATGTATTTGTCCCGTGTTGGTGGCGACATTAATATAAGTTATAAGAAAAAAACTTGAGTGTGTGGTCACCACGTCTGGTGATTACATGTTGGAATAAAAAACTCCTTTTCAGCTTTATTGTACCGACGCTTCTCGTTGGTATGCGTAACTTATTCATGAGCACACTGTGAACTTCTATGTGGCATTGAGTATGGGCTGCTGATGAGGAGAATCTACCTAGTGTTATCTGTTAATCTTCACTCCAAATATCAATAACCTACAGGAGTGCATACATCTGCGTTCCTTAGGCTTAGATTGCATGCTTCCTTTCTTTTTCAAGCACTCTATTATTGGTATATGTCAGAGCCAAAAGACAAACGATGAACATCTGTGTGACTGAGTATGGTCAGGCTTGCGGTCTGGTGAGAAGAATCGATCCGTTGTTTCCTGCCCAATATAGTATCCTCACTCACAGATCAATCGCAGAAAAATGTGCATTGATCTTCATTCCCAAACGCACTTATTAAACTGTTTTATCTTCATCACCTTGGCTCTGCACATTTGTATGTGTAACCGTTAACGAAAAAGTTTATGAGCTTGTTTTGACTAGAGGGTTTTATGATGGTGGCATAATGAGTATAAGGGAGAGGTCTAATAAATCTTGGTCTAATAAATCTTGATTGGTCTAATAAATTTTGATTACATAAAGTGCGCTTCTGTGTTTTGCAGTTATCTATGTTTATTATAGTGGCAAAGAACAAGGTATGAACCTGTGGACTGGTTTGCGAACAAACTAGGTACGGTCTCATGAGTAGAATCTACCAATTATTTTTCTCAATAACGACTGCAGTCGGATGTCCTTTTATTTTGGTTCATCTCCTCGAACAAACTACACCCGCAGGTAGCAATTACCTTGCATAAATACCCTTGGTATGCATAAAGGATGCTTTTTTTGGCAAAATCCGTGGGTGTCTCGTGAAACCCGGGATCTAGGCGGTTTCCTCAGTTGCTTTGTGGGTTTGAATTTCGGACACTTTTAAGCTTAAGAGGCACAGCAATTTATTTTCTTAAGGTTGGTTCTCGACATAAATAAAACTACAGCAGTGAGACATCATAAAAGCACAGGGTAGGGAAGAAAACTTCGATCTGGCTGTATACACTTCATGAAGCTGAGTGGACCAGAGCAGAAACCTAGTCTTTAGGCTTTGTGTTCATCGTGGTTTTCCAGTTAAGCATATGTCCATATTGTGTGACCATGGGGGTAAAACTAACTCCATGGTGTTGACCTAGATTTAGGTAAAACCCACCAGAATGTTGTCTGCAGAATAATAAGCATCACACGCAATGTTGTAGTGAAATTATTCGAACACATTAGAACTACATGTATATACAGTATATTGTATTCACATCGAAGTGCTGTCCTTTTATAACATTTACATAACATTTCATACCAACACGTACATTGCACATTAAACAACGTATGCATAGTATACGTCCTTCCACGCACAATTTCAACTGTTCACTGCACACGTGTCGATAGCACTGCAAACCAATAACATCATTCTTGGATAATGTGTTTCCTTGTGTAGATGTTGTGTAAATCATACAGGCTTAAGTGCCGATGAAGCTACATAACGCCGTACAGAATCGTGTGTCTTACCTACTAATAACAACATATATATTGCTGGATACGCTGCAGGTATTGCTCTAGTCGAGGCAGCAGAGGCAATATAACTTCCCAGGCAAGTGCATGCATATGTTGCCACAGGCAGAACGCCGATGGCTATTCATAACTGTTACAGCGTGTCACTTCAATTTACAGTGCCGCAGAATATATTAATAATACATTAATTAACGTTATTCATCTCATTGGGACATTATTGTGATATGTACAGTCTTAAGGGCACTGTTTTAACGTCGAGCGATCAGCTTCATCATTGTCCACGAGCTTATCCCGTTTTTCAAACGTCTGTGTGATGCTCATGAGGCTTATTCATAAAAACCCTTTTCAAAAGCCCTACTATCTGCATTCTGCACAGGTTTTCAGGACCGCGATTCTTATAGATAAAGTGCCGTTGTTAAAGTGAGAAATCACAGTAGGTTTACGATGTCCTCGAGGCAATGCCTATCAGCATGTTGATAGATTGCAGCTGTAAGGCTTGTTTATTCTGCAGGCGACGACCTGTCGCTATACAAGGTTCAGGAAGATGCTTTTAAAGCTAATATGAGAATAGAATACAAATATGAGAATACATGTAGTACCCTTGTGACCCTAAAGCACTATGAAATAAGCCCTTGAGTATTCATTATTATATTCTTTCAAATTGTTACAATTTGCAATCAGATTCACTCATTAAGTTTTATATTCCTTGTGGAAAGAACCTTAAAAACGTAGACCTTGAACGTGAAAGCAGTATTTGTCACAATCATAAAGTTTTTGCCAGATAACAAACCTATTCTTTACATATTTATCACATTCTGACATGACTCTAGGCTTTACCAGGAGTCATGACTGAGAAATATTACTTTTTAGTATTGGCAATTATTGTTCAACAGTATCAAAATACATTTATACATCATACATTTTAATTACTCTGTAGTCTAAGGGTACCTCAGTCTGAGGGATCGTTGTATACAGAACCATGCTCAGGAATGGTTCTAGATAGACCACGCGTATCCAGAATCTTGCCTGCGGCAAATCTGCGTTCTTAGATACGCGGAGACCATCCAGAACCCGACCTGATCCCAACCCATTCAGGCATAGAACTAGATAGGCACGGCTCTGGATACGAAGTTTTTTTCTTGCTGATTCAAAAGCACAAGTAGAACGGCCAGTAGATTACATTGAATAGGATGAAGAGTGTGGGGAAGGCCACTCGGCAGATGTAGTCGATTCTCTTGGCTTTGTCTGCGGGACTGCGCGGGCGGCAGGGTGACGTCCTGGTGACGGGATCAGGCACCTGTGGGTCCGTGCACACAACCTGAAGCGTCCCGTTATTCTGGTCCATCATCTGAGGAGGAAGAACAACACAAATTATAACTTACTATGTGGGGTCATGTGGCGTAGAGGCAGAGTGCTCGACTCGGAACCAAGGGTTCGAGTCCTGACGTGCCACCGATCTTGTGCCCCAGGGATAGGCACTTAACACGACTTTCCTGACTTAACTCAAGTGAAAATCAGTATTGTGTTGTCCCTTGTGTTGGTGGGGGCATTAATATAAGTTGAAGAAAAAAACTTGAGTGTGCCGTCATCACGCCTTGTGCTTACATGCTGGAATAAAAAAAAGTACGATGTGGTCATATTCGTCTTAGGTCGTCATACGACTTTTTTCGAGCAGGCAGCCGTGACAGAACCAGTCGACACGGATCTAAGATAACCCTTTTCCGTTACAAAGCAGCTGCAATTTTAGAACACATGCATGAGAATCCCAAGAATGTCCTCAGTTTACGATTGTAGGACGTATGTTCAATAGATGTACAGCTTTCTGAAAGTATTTAGAGATACAATCGTCATCATTCTGAGAGGTCGCCCGAGCTAAATCCACTATTTCTCTCTCACTTGTTTTCCACAATGTCCATGACCTGCACTCTGGCATTCACGGCAGTTTCATTGATATGATTCTCGACCAACTTGGAGATGTGTGACAGATATATGTATATATATACGTATATATATATATATATATATATATATATATATATATATATATATATATATATATATATATATATATATATATATATATATATATATATATATATATATATATATATATATATATATAGTGACAGATATATATTATTGAGTGTCCCACAGACCGTACGTGGAATCTACCTGAGGTTTATGGTCCTCCCTTCTCCGTATGAAGTCGACTGCTGCGTACTCCAGCAGAGCAGCGATGACGAAGAGCTGGCAGACGACGACCCAGACGTCCACGGCGCGCACGTACGACACTTCCGGCATGGGCGCCGTGCGCGAGCTCTGCGCCGTCATGGTGAGGACCGTGGTGGCGCCCAGACACACCCGGGCAGGGACCGTGTCTATCGAGAACCAGAAGGAGATCCAGGACATGATGACGATGGAGGTGGAGGGGATGTACATCTGCAGCAGGTGGTACGCCAGGCGCCGGGACAGGTGCAGCTGGATCTCAAGGGAAGTGAACTCAAAAGAAGTAGCTGTGGGGAGGTTGGAAGCAAAGAATGGGAGTTAGAGTTCTGGTGACAGTGGAGGTTGAATGTCCTCGCAATGCTAGCGCTAGCGTACTGCTATGGGCCAATTTTGGCTCAATTAGATATGTCTTCACCAGTATTCGTCGTAGAGAGAGAGAGAGAGAGCACTCAGAGATGCTCACCTAATGGGCATCTATGGATTGGCTGATAGACCACCACAGATGGCTCTTGATTTGATCTGTTAAAGGGTTAGTGTGCCCGAGAGAGATCGTCACATCTGTTCTATACTATGAACCAATGACAGTCATTGCCAATGTAAGGTGGTCAAAGAAGAAATGAATAGGATTGATGAGGTAGATACGAAGAAGTTTGAGGCTGAGTCCAAGTTTCATTTTGATCCACTTTCAGCCATCTAGTGTTCCTGGGGCTATCTTTGCTACAAATAGGGTATATTCATCTACTGGTATCTGCTGCCTTTGGCTCTTGCTCTTGCTTTTTCCTTTAATAACGTTGTGATTCAAGTAGAGAGGCATTTCCTCTCCAAGATTAATCCCGCAGAGTATTAATCGCTTTTCCACACCTGCCAGTAATTTCCAGTGCAGGTGGTGGATGAGATGTTGGCAGACAACCAGCAGATGCATTAGTGGTAGACCCGTGTGCCACTGCGCGGCTGATTACTTCTTGGAAATCGCACTGCCTTTGCCAGAACACCTGAACCTTGTACCTTTAGGTGTCATCAGACGCTTTTGATAAATCTGACGTCCTGCCTACCGGATGTGTGGCCATTAAGTCTACTATAATCACCTTCTTTTGATATCCACGGCATCGTTGCCTCTACGATTTCCTGCATATGCTGCGCGTCAATCATTTAAATGGAAGCTTACCGTCTCTAACTTCCACAAGTATTCTCCATCCAAGCTGTTAAATGCCTTCTCATAAACAATAAAGTTGCCATAGAGAGGCGAGTTCCGTAGAATCCATTCTATGGACTGAGTGAACTGATCCTGAGTGTGGTAATCTGGTCTGTGCAGGATCTGTTTTAATCTGGTCTGTGCAGGATCTGTTTTAATCTGGTCTGTGCAGGATCTGTTTTAATCTGGTCTGTGCAGGATCTGTTTTTGCTAAACCCAGCCTGTTGGTCACGGAGATGTGGGTCCACAGCATCTCTCACTCTGTTCAGCAGGACTTTGTTAAAGACCTTGCTTGGAAATGAGAGTAGGGTACAACGCTCTCTTGTTTTGTTTTTGTGCTTCGAGCTTTTCAACTCTTAAGTTAAGAAAATATGCTCCAGAGAGTTGTTGATAGAGTCTTCGAACGTTCCTACCTTTGCATTCAAGTCACGCTGGCCTTTAAGAAGGTCTTTTAATGCTTCTCGTGCGAAACATTCGAACTCACCGCCACGAGTTTCTTCAAGTGGGACAGGGGCAAGGTATCCCTCTTGTCATCGCCAGCGGTCTTCGTAGTTTCTGGTATTCTAAACAATCTCAGTATTTTAAAAGGCCAAGCTAGGTATCTATCAGACCAGACACGTAGGTACATGTTTGTAAGTATTCCAGCCATTTGTCATGAGTTCAAATTACTCTTGAAGTTGCACAGGTATTTGTCTGATGCCATTTGTTTGCATTTTTAAGCCAGACTCTGTATCGCCAGAAGTACCATTAGCAACATTGGGCTAAAGGGCAACAAAATAGTGGCAATATTAGCCATAATGCCTATGATCCTTATGCATCGACGGTCAGTGGTGCAGGTTTTTGAATGTGTCATTGATGTAAAAGTGCGAAAGCAAAGACGTCGCTACGGTACCTTCCGTGACCAGATCGCAGGTCTGCGTGTGTTTGTCGCAGGTTCCCGGGAAGGCCGTGCAGTAGTCGCACTCAGGGGAGCTGAGGGTGTCCGCACACCGGGAGTTATCCACCAGACAGGCGTCAGCCGCGCGGTAGTCACACACGTAACTCAGGTACTTACACCCTTTACCTGCAGGACAGCAGTCACACACGTAACTCAGATACTTACACCCTTTACCTGCAGGACAGCAGTCACACACGTAACTCAGGTACTTACACCCTTTACCTGCAGGACAGCAGTCACACACGTAACTCAGGTACTTACACCCTTTACCTGCAGGACAGCAGTCACACACGTAACTCAGGTACTTACACCCTTTACCTGCAGGACAGCAGTCACACACGTAACTCAGGTACTTACACCCTTTACCTGCAGGGAGAACCAACTGTGGCTTCAGGGTGGAAACTAGAATACAAGCATGAAGTAACACAAAGAACACGGCTGCATTGTTATAAGTATAAAGCAGGCCATCTACATGAGGGTGCACCAACCTTCTCTCAACCGGGACGGGAGGCGACATTGACTTCCAACGACTTTGACCCTTTGGGAGCGTCACTAGTGCATATAGTCATGACTTCTGAGTGTTTCTTTTAACACAAGCAAGAGACATAAACTTACCTATCACAGTTTCGTTACTGATCATTGGACCCCTCGTTACTGTCTTTAGGACAATGCTTGGGTCAATAGGAAAAGTCATACAACGTACCCCAAAAAGTGGCCAGGTGGTCGTTATACAGAGGCGGTCACACGTACAGGTTTGACTGTAAATCTTGGCCGTCTAAAACTTCAAGCATAATCTCTCCAAACCAGTAGGCCCTTTTAGATGTCTCCCCGGGCCTATATCGACCGTACAGTAAAAAGCCCTCGTGGCCACCCGCCAAAGCACTGACGCCCATTAAGGTTCTGCCTGCCACGTTCAGTCTACTAAGCTGTAACTTATACCGTTGCAGCGCACAATATTTGCCCCAAGTGATTATAACGTACCTTTGTGGGCTCTGGCATTTGGCATCCGGGGCCATTCACCTTGTCTGCTCTCCGCACATGGCATTTTGGGGTCCCCATGTGCACAAAGGTCTTGGCATCATAACTCAGAATTGGCACTCGACATTTCAAGAATTTCAATTGACTTCCACCATGATTCGCTGCGGGTCGATGTACGGTTATTGACTTGGTGTACACTTGACGATATTTACCTTCCACTCTGAGGTTGAATGAGTTGACATAAGCCTTCATCTCTATCTCCCGGAGTCTGAACTGAGAGTGGATTGCTGTGGCGTCCGTCAGTAGAGGCCCCGGTCCGTGGTCGCTCCAGATAAAGGGATAACCCCAGGCCAGTAACACTCCTTCAACTGTGAATACAAGATCGGTACTTTTTACTCCACGGATTTTTTGTTTGCCTTCTTAGGCCAGATCACCCTTTACTTTGGGCTCGTGATCTTACATAATCGAAGTTGCGGTATGGCCATCTGTCCATAGTGAATGCCATCCCATTCTATGGGATTCTGGTAGTCAGTCGAACATTTTCATTTTTGTTATTGTTTTAGATTGCAACTTTCAGTTAATCAATCCAACATAAGATGCCTGCTCAAGGCATGCTAAGATGTGCTCATTCCCAACTATCATCGGTAGACTTTTAAATCACTGTCCAACTTCTGGGAAGAGGTTGAGAAAGCAGCAGGCGCCAGACCTAGACGGACGCCTGCTGCTCAATGTGCCTGTAGGCACAGGAGGACCTAAGCACTTCTGGAGAACGTACGATAAACGAGGAAACAATGATAAAACTGGTGACAGCAGGCCAAGAGAAGTTACTCCGCTGGGAAGTCCGACTCATCTGAAAGCCAGCTTGTTCAGCTCTCCTGCTGCCTACAGTAAGCGCAACTAAAGCTATAAAGGTCGCACTAGTGCTTTGGGAGGATTGTTTCATTAGATATAAACGATCCATTATAAGAACGACTTTCATACATTATGATACCCGACGGCATTAAAAGTCACAGACATATTGATTTTATTCAGGGTCTGCTAAATTGCTGGTTTGAAAATCCTCTCAACAGGAGAAGGTCGTCACACAACATTAAGAACACAGAGAAGCTATGAGACATGCGGCGGCGTGGGAGTAATAAGGAAGTAATCGGGATCAGACGGTGACATGTCATTAACGTCTGCATGGAGTGGACTTGGCATTTGGGCGATGAGGAGACGAGACAGTCATACGTCTCTGCCAAGTAGATTAAGATTTCTTGAGACTAAACTAGTGTTTAGGGATTTCGTGGTGGTGAAACGATCACTTAATTTCCTACCAAAATGGGGCTCCTATTATGAAGTGTGCACACTCATGCTATTGCCGTACATCACTTTAAATTGGTTCTCGTCATTCATGAAACACCAAGGCTTCAATTTCTGTCTAAAGCGAGTATTGGTCATGAAATGGACCTAGGAAGATGATAAAGATGATGACACATCAGAGTACATACCTTTTATGCTATATCCAACACTTTGCAAGGTGTATAAGTGAATTATTCAGAGATCCTGCAACATCCTGATGGTGGTTATGCCAAAATGCCAACTCGGTTAATGATTTTTTTTATTGTTTGTGCAGGGAGTTGTTGTACAGAGGAATAAATCTGGGTACTCACATCCGTCCATCCTGATACTGCAGAGCTGGTTATCCAGGGGATAGTTCTGTAGACTCATGCTGCATGTTACCTTGATCTCGTATCTGTGGTGGAAATACACCAATGGTGAATACTCCCACGCTCATAGATGCGTATGTTACTTGATTCAAGTGGCGTATGGCATCCAGAACGGTGCCTATCTAGTTCTATGCTGGAGGGATCGGGGTTAGGATTTGGCGGAGTTTGGGCATCCATGGTTCCGGATGGTCTTCGTATAGCCAAGAACGTAGATTTGCCACAGGCGAGGTTCCGGATACGCGTGGACTATCAAGAAACGTGCCTCAGTGTGGTTCTGGATAAAGCACGTTTCTGGATGTGTATATATATATATATATATATATATGGCCGTGTGTTGTGAAGTAAGCAGCAAACACACATCTGCAGGTTCTTACCAGTACAGGCAGCATGTTTGCAAATAATGTAAAGCAATACGTACAGTGTCACTTCGTTGACTTTGCCGTCCGCGGTGACCCACATGTTGGGTTCCTTCTGAAACTCCTTGTGCGGAACGGTGGCGACCTTGACCTCCTTGAAGTTGGAGAAGTCGATGTGAGGCGTCCAGAGCACGGCCTGAGGGTCCACCGGGAGGTAGGGCCTGCCTTCCGGGATCGGCAGCAGCCGCGGGTCCCGCCATTCACGGACTATCCGTAGGATGGCTTGGAAGTCCTGGGAACAGTGTAACAGTGGGGGGTTATAGGCGCTACCAACTGATCCGTCAAAGGGGTCTAGACCTTTTAGCGGAGAGGTGTCTGACTGGGGCCCGGGAGGTTGTGGGTTCGAACCCCGCCCGGGACTAGTGGGTTTTTATCTGTTCCTCCTGTTTCTAACAGTGGTTCCCACACCGGCCCTGGGAGTTCTGGCAAAGAGTGCCGCTCCAGGGATGTCGAATTCGGAAGATTCGAGGACGAATCTTGAAAAGAAAAGGGGGAGTAGTGTAACAGTGGGGGGTTATAGGCGCTACCAACTGATCCGGCCAAAGGGTCTAGACCTTTTAGCGGAGAGGTTAGAGTGTCTGACTGGGGCCCGGGACGAGTGGGGTTTTTACTGTCCCCTCCTGTTTCTTACAACAGTAACAGCCCAACAATGGTAATCTGCTGACACTGTGACGCAATAAAAAATTAAAATCTCGCTTACATTCTCTATTTCAAAGTGCGCAAAGCATGATTCTTTGAAATGGTACTTAGTAGTAATCTATTTCAAATACGTTATACATAATACGTTTGAAATGGGCTTCACAGAAATATATTGCCTTAAATTCACTTGACATGAACTTGATAAGAAACCATGCTACGCCTTAAAAGTTCACGATGAAATGATCAGGGTAGAAATTGATATTGTCTCAACTCCCAAGATCACTGTTGAAAGGTTGAGTAAAAAGTCAAGACCCAAGATCATAAGAATCCAGCCGTACCCTTACCAGCAGTGTGGTTACAGGAATTCGATATATAGATCATACCCTTCAAACATAACCTTTGAAGACAAAACATGAAAGCGGGGCACATCAATTTCCCTGGTATCCAATTTAGCCTCCCGTCAAACATGTATCTGTTTAACAAGTCGTGAAATGAGATGACCTGGATCAAACCATCTCTGGGATTGTCGGATCGTTACCTGCAGATTGCGACATGGATAAGGACAGTCTGTGGGGACGAGTCGCGGACACACGTTTGTGTCACACAGAGTTTATTCCGATCTCTGAGCCAAAGGACTGATTTTCCTGAATGAGAAATAAGGAGCTCAGGATGAGGACTCTTCACTCACTAGGTCGAGATTCCCTCGGTCCCAATGACTGGTCTTCATCTCTTTCTATCTTTCATTTCATCGTTTTCAGGATTCTTAATCACTTTGAAATCACAGCCACCAACACCATGATGGTAAGTGAGAGTTCTCTGTCTCACGATAATCGGCCCATGTCGGCACTTACTCGTATGCATAAATCAGCAGGATTAGAATGTTTCAAAACTCTGTACATAACACGTGCAAGGGGATGATGAATGATGAATAAGTGAACTTTTACACAACTCTCGTGACTTGGAGCTGTTGGTCATCGACCTTCTAAGGGCCTGACCAGTGGAGGAACGAGCAACACTATTATTTGGTACCCGCTTTCCGCTGAGTGGGGTGGCGACCACAAATCTCATTGGTAGTTCAAAGAAATTTCGTTTGTTTCTTTCAAACGAAATACTCATCATGGTCCATCGTCGATGTGTAAAGTCACGAGTCGTACAAATCTAATGTTTGATCCCCTCCACCCAGTGGACAGGAGCTCGGGTGCCGTACTTCAGATATGCTAATGATGTAACTTGATGAATTGCTGTGGATTGCACTTAGTAGAAGGACCAGATAAGCGCCATATAATTCAATAGTTTATTCAATGAATTCAATAAATGAGACTGTACCATTGGTTCTTCAGACACTGAATTCGATAAATGAGACTGTACCATTGTTTCTTAAGACACTGAATTCAATGAATGAGACTGTACCATTGTTTCTTCAGACACTGATCCGAAGCCTTGTAGGTGCGCGGCGACGGTGACGTTTAGCCATCGGTCTGAAAGGAAGACAAATCATTTTGACGGAGTTAGAACGACAGTTGCATACAAAAACACAGAAGGTCATGGTTAAGTCATGGATGCACCCACAGTCCCTGACTTTCAGACATGAGGATGGAATCAGGTTCAAAAGGTCCTCTCGAGTTCAACACTTCTTGCACGCCAACCATCTTTCAGAATGGGTAATGAGTTAGCATCTGCCAGGCTTTAGCCTTTCACCATGCCACCAGACGGCTAGAAAGGGTAGAAAGTGGCCAAATAGACAGAGGGCACTAACCAAATCCTTCTCCAAAACGGCAACTACACCCGCCTGCTTTGATTCGCTCTTAACGTTCCCTGGCAAAGAGTGGCATCAATAAAAAAAACTCTAAAACGGTCTACCCCCGATAACTATGACCATCCATAACTGAAGACAGGCTCTTGCTTGCTTGTAGTATGTCATAATCAAGGAGTTGGCAACCCGACGTAAACAGAAGGGGACAACCAAACCCGACACTCAAAGAAATCCCAGAGGTCAAGGTTGGAGCGAAGGACCGCGACCTGCTGGCCGCCATGCTACATGTAGACAGAAGTGTCTGAAGTGACGTCCTGAAGGGCACGTCGTACGAGAATGTACTAACTTAACTGATAACAAGTAACATGCTCAGAGAGTTTGTCTGCTAAAGGAGTACAGTTTGCCGCAAATTTCTACTTTTTCCAGTCGCGACTGAAGCCTGAAAGAGGCTAGTAAGGAGTGGTAACTAGCGTGTACATGAAAGGCTTTTCAAAATAACATCGCCTACACGTAAAAAAAATGTTTATTTATGTCAAGACTAACACGTTTTCATCTATCAAGTAAAAACGAACTTTGCTCAAGGGTGGTTCGCGGGCATTTTACAACGGCTCTAGGTATGGTCAATAACCTGGTGCATATTCACAACCGGAACATGAAAACCCATATGACATGCGAGCTTGTGCAAGCATCGAGGAAAAGATTGCATATTGACGGCTTCTGACAGCAAACAAATGCTCCTTGCACGCAAGAAGAACCTTGAATCGACGCAAGCAGCCGGCCGCGTCACGAACTTGTGCAGGACAGAATAACTAAAGACCGGGTGATCGATCAAAAAGCGGAGTTCGGAGCTCGTTAATTACGTTCAGATCTTTTGACAAATAGCCTGATTACACTTGCTCTTACGTTCGCACGATCTATATAATGCTCGTTGGTAAAGTACTTTAAGAAAGGGACTCGTAAAACAACCTATCATTAAAACTTTAACTAACCTCTGATCAATACAGAATAAATTAACCTATATGGTCTATGGATTATCTAGGATCTACTCACTCGTTAAAATTGGAATTGATGCGTTTTCATTGCTGCATCTTATTGTTCCGCATTGGATTGGGACGGTTTATCTACTGCTAACTGCATGATGTAGCACATGGGATGCGGGTAGTTTACCTTTAATATATTCTTTTACAGTTGTCACCTCTTAGCCTGTATCTTTGGATGGCTGTCTTTGCGTAAGTTCGGCTCCACTGCGTAAGTCTCTCTCAAGGTGACTGCATTAAGAGATGTCGCCGCTGATGGGAGAGTTAGCCTTGACTCGGTGCCACGGCGGACTCTCACGTCTCCAACACCGTGCATGCTTGAAAGCATCCTGTCTACTCCCGTCGGCCAAAAGTCTATTCCCAACCGATGCATCAGAGGAGGGTTTTCATGCCATTGCCGCCTGCTGTCTTATCAGCCTAGTAGACTAACAACGTTTACAGGCCGTAGCGCCATCGAACATCATTTTGTTACAACAGCAAAACTAGCCTGTCAAGCAAGCTGATCAACAAGCCATGCAATGGTTATCTTATTATCCTTGAGGCATAAACTGGCGACCATAAACCAGTGAGTAGTTGATGAGCGTAGTCAACATTCTCGTTACATCCCACTTGATATAATTCATTACACGGTGGATTTGCTGTTTCACAGTTTTTGGTTTGATGTCAGTAACATCGGCGCCGTATCATTAAATCACACACCTCGTTGACTGCGCGGATGTTCTTTTACATCTATGCAGAGTCGGCAGCAAGGTTGTTCAAAAAACACTTCACACAATGTTTGCAGCTTTGATATCCGAAGTCATTCACCCCCAGATAATGACTGCCTACTTGCAGCGAGACGAATCCTATGAAGAAGACTAATAATCTAAAAACTAATAGCCTATACGTTGGTGAAGTGTAGACATCCAGTTAACAAGATACGCAGAAAAAACAGTTACTCAAGCAACTGGGTATGATTTTGGAAGCGGCCAGACGTTTCAGGTAGCATCCACTACCTTTCGTCATTGAAACTGGAGAACTCTCGAATTCAGCGGGTATATTTCATGAAATTGCATATTTCACACATATCCTACTGGAAGTGTGACTAGAATAGCCCATACATTTTATTGGTAAAATTTATTGCCAGTAGAACTTGCTACACTGTGTGATATCGAACTTTTGATCTTAAGAGTGTCCTCAGCATGAAGTCTATAAGCTATCCAAAGGACCGTTGCTCAATGAGGACACCGTTGTCGGGGCGTTGCACGCCGCGTGTGTGCGAGTAGGGCTCTTCAACTACCTGTGTTCAACAAGGCCGATCCTTCAGGCAGACCATTAAGAGCACTCCATGTAACAGCCTGCGGGGAACGGGCTTGTGGAGAACGCTGCGAACCGGGCCTGTAATTACCAGACCCTGCTGCCGCCATTACTACTCAACTGTAACAAGCAGCTGGGTTGTTTAATGAGTGCACATGCCCTTTCCCGACCCCTGCATGTATTTCACCAAATTGCATATTTCACACATATCCTATCGGAAGTGTAACTATTAAGTCTGAGGTACTTTGCAGAATGCACTATAATTTTGGGGAATTAAGTTTCCATTTTTAAAAATCGCAGACAATTATTCCCATAGCTAAGCGCCCGAATAGGAACGACTTACAAGTTCAAAGGCGCCCTTCATACGCGCGGTACGTGCCCCTACCATTAGGCAATAAGATGTTGTTTGTACACGGTTAGATACAGCCTGGTTACAAGAAGCAAATAACTTGCTTAGTTATTATCTTAAGTGTAGTTGCATTGCCGGATGCAATGTGCCCTTTATCTAACAACTTTGAAAGCTGTCTTTCCGCAATGTTCCTAACTCCTATTAACTATCTATAAAGTTGCAGTAGCCTTCCTGTATCCGTTATATAAGAAACTTTTTGATACCCTTAAAGGAACCAATTCATATTGCCACAGACGTTGACAAATGTTGAGTCATTTGTACCATGTTAGTAGGCCACGCTGTAGCTACTTCAATAAGATGAATATTGCCAATGAATCTCCATAAACGTCTTTATGTGATTCATTCGTTGCCATTGGTTTGACCTGGATCACAGACCTTTAACCTACTTTGTTCTTTGGCGTGCACATTGGAATTTTTTTATGATCAGTGATAATCAATCATTATCTATTTTATTGTGGTCGAGCCTGTAAAACAATTTCTTAAGCTAGTCGTGGACATAAAGGAAAAAATAAAAATGAGTAGTACCAGTATCAGAAATGCTGTCTTGTTGAAATGGCTAAATAGTCAGCCCTTAGTACCAGTGAATCTCTGCGTGACTGTTTAGATTGTTTCTGTTGCTTTGACATCATCATCATTACGGACATCTAACCCAGACTAAGTTGACTCCACTTTTGCAATCGCTCCCTGTCTTCGTTGCTACGTCCCGGATATCTTGCGTGCAAGATGGTCTGCCCTCCTCTGTCTCCAAACGCGGCAATTGTATATATCGGCACGTAAACTCATATCCGTAGTTTGGTATTCAGTGTATCGGAGTGTAAGACTGCTGGCTACTCGTGCTCGATAAAAAAAAAGCCACTATCTACTTTATTCCGACATGCTGTCAATAATAGGCAATACTAGGATGCACGAAGCGGTATATGGGGCGATGTGCCTGTAGGGGAATGGGCTTCTTTCTCGTCCAGGCTCCGTCACGGCCCGGATGTGCAATAAAACCCTGAGATATTGGTTCTGCTGTGCGATGTACTCTGATGGCAATCTCGAAAGTTTCTAGATAACAACAGGGATTGAGGAGTTTTGGTATTGAGTTCCTTACATGTTGGATTTCCGGACTGCGGACTTAATTACACAGTAACTCAGAACAAGGAGTAACAGTAAAGGCAATATAAGAAAAGTGTGTTGAAAGAGTAACAATAAAAGTGTGTTGAAAGAGTAACAGTAAAATCCATACAAGAAAAATGTTCAAAGAGAGACAGTTAAAGTCATATAAGACGAAATGTTCAAACAGTAAAAGCACTATAATAACAATATGTTCAAATAGTAATAGTAACAGTAAAAGTCATACAAGAACAATATGTTCAAATAGTAACAGTAAAGTATGCTCCATAAACTTTCCCCATGTATTTATCCTAAGTTACAAAGTTACAATTTATCATAAGTTACAAAACTTTCAATTGCTCCGAAACGTACATGCATTTGGGATCATATAATGTCAAATACAGGTTTACGGGTAGTTTGCCACTAATCGTAGTCGTTAAATAAACGACGGGAGACTTTAAATTTTGGCATCGACTCTACCTGGCCTGACGGACATTTGAACAGAAATTTTGCATAGTGTCTTTCATAGGTACATTGGGGGGAGGAGAGAGAAGAAAACATCATTCTTTATTCATGAGGCTGTCTCGCCTTTCCCTCTAGATTTATAGAGGTTGGATACAGTGTGACGATACAGTGTGACGATTGTGCAATCAGAATCAGACATATAATTGCTGTTTCACGGTGAGCATCCTGGGTCGCACATCATTGAGGTATCTATCACTGTTCTGGTAATGTCCTATAGATTATCATCTACACAATCTATGCGATTTCTCTAAAGATATTTCGGCAACCTTTCGATCCAGTGTGACGATTGTACCATCCGAATCAGATAATTGCTGTCCCACGGTGGCTATCCTGGGTCGCAACATCACTGGGGTATCTATCACT